CCCTTTGCCTGCTCAGTCAGCGCCCCCAGCCCCACCGCGAGGAAAAGGGATGAGGGTGGGGACTTTGCGAGGGGCAGCAGGTTAATTTGGGTCCGTGTGAAATGTGTGTCTGTACCTCTCCTCTCATCTGTCTGCCCGACTCGGATTACCGTTTAGGGGCTGCGACCAGACGGGGCAAAAGGCACAATAAGGACCTGCGGATGGAAGAAGGCTGGGCTAGGCAGCGGCTGGTGGCCCAAGAGGGGTCGTTGTCTGACGTTGCTAGAATTCCCAGTCACAAATGTCCACGTTGGCTGGTCCTGGGCAGGTGGTGGACAGAGCTGGAGCCTGCAGCCAGAGGGCTTACTCAGGTGGCCTGGGGTGAGGCATATGTTTGGATAAGGGAGGGTGAAGAGGAGCCGTAACACAGGGGCCTTGGGTGTATCTTACAGCCAGAGTACACAATAACAGGACTCTCGAAATGGGACTTTACGACTTCCTCTGGGACTTTCCATGATTAACCATTTTCTTACCCCCATCCCCTCCCCCAGTGAATCGGCTGCCCCTCTACATGAGCATGAGGCATACTTTAATTTGGGGGTGCTGTAATCCTGCCTGTTGAGTCAGGCACAGTTGGCTGTCAGCATTCCCGTACAGTGGGTCTCTTCCCAAGAGACCGCTGTGGTAAATGCGGTGAGGCAACGGCTAGCAAGCTCGTGGTCTTGGAGAGCTGTGGTGGACAAGTGGGCAAGTTTGAACACAGCTGGAGTGTGACTCTTGCTCTTCCACGTCTATCCAAATGTATCCCTTCCCTTAGGGAAACGCTTGGTTGTTACTTAATGTTCAACACACTTTAAAGCCAAGTGACTGTCTCTTAAGTAGGGAGAAGGGTTTACCTAAAGTTCACAGGAGGAAGGATGCTCTGGACCCCCGGTAAATGGCTTGGAGGGGGAGAAAGGTTTCCCACTGGTGTTGCTAGTTAGATGAAACATGGGAACTAAGTTGGAAGGAACTAACTGGCGTTGTCCAGGCAGCTAGAATTAGAATATGAAATGAAGAAAATGTTCAAATGGAACGAAACGCATTGAAAAAGGTCTCCAGTTGCACACACTGGCTGTGTGTAGGAGGAGGTAGGATCCTTGGAGGAAATTGATGGCTCAAGAGAGAGTGAGATAACCTGAGATTGAACCAAGGGAAAGTCAAGCTGCCTTCTAGGTCATGCAGGATACACACACACACTGGCGTTCAAAAACTACAGGAATAAAGGAGCGAGTGACAAGAAATCAGAAAACTCAGAGGATGCAGCCAGATGGAAGGAACCAGGGTGACCTCACTGGAGGCTGCATGTCTGAGGCTGATGAATTTGCATAACATTTCCTCTTCCTCCTGCCAAAAGCTCTTTGGATTTCTGCAGAATCTACTTATCTGCCTAATTTTTTTAGTGTCCTGGGAAAGGAAGGAGAAAGTGTAAAAGTTGGTTACTAAAAAGGATACAGCCAGACAAGAAAGAACTTGTCTCCTTCCAAAGCAAGAACACAGAAAGCCTCATGAAGAAGTCCAGATCGCAGCCGTGTGGGTGCCTCGAGTGCCGTTTGAGAAGTTCTCTCTAAGGCGTTGTTTTCCCTTTCCTTGCCTCTTGGCAGGTTTCTGGGTATACCACATGCTACTTAGTGTTAATGTAACTGACAAAGGTTAAAAACTTAAATTTGACATTCAGAGTTCTTGACATATCCAGCGCCTACCCCTTTCTCTACTGTATCTACGTTATCTACTGGTCCTTGCAACAAACAGCTTTCATCCCAAGATACAACACACATTCTTGAGCATTGGTTACTCAGGTCACACCACATGCCTGTAGCACATTCCTGCGCTGCCTCTCATTATTTTTGTTCCAATCCACAACTCCCTCATGGGAGCCTTTCAAGAATTCCTAGTTGGTATTCGTCTTATCCTCATGGCATTTTGGTGACATCTCTCCCAGTCTGTCATGAGAGCTGTTCATCTTGTTCTCCCTCTAAATTGCAAACCCCCCGAGGACAATGATTTTTTTTCCCTGCCTGATGCTTTATAACAAACTAGCAGATGCACAAAGGATGTTTGATTTGAAGTTCATAAATAAATGAAAGCAATGAAAAATTACACACATCTTGTATTTATTTATAGATCAGGTCTCATGTAGCCCAGGCTGGCTTCCAACTCACTGTGTAGCCAAGGATGACTGAACAGCAACGCGGCTCCCATCCTTCTTGCCTCCATCTCCTGAATGCTGCGGAAAGAGGTGTGCTTCAGGACACCTAATTTTATGCTGTCCTGGGAATCCAACCCAGGCCTCGGTGAAAACTTGGCAAGTACTTTACCAACTGAGCTCCATCTCCAGCCCACGTGCGGCTTATTTTATCTCTTACTTGGTTTCTATAGTAAAGCCATGGAGTCTTTCTCATAGACTTGGGAGGACTCATCACGATGGGAAATAAACCCTCTAGTTCATGGTGTACCGAAACTCTTCCTTTTCCCCGGTTTTACAAGACCCTAAAAGCATTTGTCACGGTGTCTAGTAAAAGATGTTCATGGGAACCATGTTACTGAGCCTCTTTGCCAACCTGGATTTCAGACTCTAGCAACATATGGAATGGATTAATGCAAGTGCATAGTCAGTTATTTTTATAGGTCTACACCGAAGAAGGTGATTTTCTTCTCAGTATTAAAGTGTTTATGAGAAGGCAAGATGCCAAGGACTATCCTGCTCTTTGCCACCAAGTCAGGCATCGAACATGCCTCTTCCCTTTCACAGACTAAGCCGACTACTAGGGCCAAAATATAGCAGTAGAAGAACAGGGCCGATTAAGTCCTCAAACTTTGTTTCCTTCCAGTTCAGTTTTTGTCCCCACTGGTGAATAATTGAATATTTTTCTTGCTTTCTTTTCATGTGATTCATAGCCATCACCATTTACGGAATATATTATTGAATACGTCAGTGATTACAGTAAGACATTTGGGGCTGGGGACATGCGTGCCTTAGTTGGTATAGTGCTTGCTTTGCAGGTACAACGACATGAAATTGATCCCCAGAACCCACGTTAAAAAAGCCAGGCATGGTGGCATGTGCCCTGGGGAGGCAGAGGCAGGAGGATCCCTGAAGCCAGCCGGCCTAGCCTACTTGGTGAGTTTCAGTTTTACCGAGAGATCTGGCTCATAAACAGATGGGTAGCACCTGGGTCATGACACCCAAGGCTGTCCTGTGGCCTCCATATTCACCTGGGTCCATGTGCACCTCTGCACGTACACAGAACAAATTAGACAGCTTACATGAGTTGCCTCATTTCATCTGGTAACTGCTGTTATCTCCATTGTAAAAAACGAGGAAACCGGAGCTCACAGAGACGTCAAGAAACTTGCCTGGAGCCCCGGATTCTGAACTGGAGATGCATTGGAATGTAGGTCTGCTGATCGGCACAACTTTCAGAACTGCTTTCTTTGGGAGGGACTTGCTCCACATTTGCAGGTTCCCTGCCGGGAGCATCGTCGGGCTTCTAAAATCATCTGACTGGCTCTCATTCTGAGAAGTGAAGTTCTTTCTTTACAAACAAAACAACAACAACAACAACAACAATAACCAACCACATTTTCTTCAAGCCTTTAATTTCCTATGGCCATCAGTTGGAAAGACCAAATTTAGAATCCTTAAGGCCTTTGGGCACAGAACTTTGCCCTGAATTACTGTTCTTTTTTGTTTTATGTTTACTTCCAGCCTATCTGAATTTTTTTTTTTCTGTTCTCTCCAGGCTAAGTCTCTTCTCTTCTGGGTAGATTGTCTTGGTCATGCCAGGCCATTCTTAGCCTCTCCTTCAGTCTCTGGCATTGCCTGAAATGCCCGGGTTTCATTGACTTCTTCATGAAAATTCAACTGCACACGTGGCAGGGACTGTCTGTCCAGAACACAGCATGGCATTTGGTGGACTTTCAGAACTCTGTTCACGATGAATCATTAGTCATGGGTAAATGCAGACATGGAGGCATGAAACATCTTAATGCTGGCAGTTGTCTTCTATCGTAGAAGGAAGACAAGAAAGAAACTGGTTTTCTTAGTTATTGTTCACGTTTTTTCAGTGGGACTGACTGCTAAGCTCCGGCTGGAAGATGCGGAGCTGTGCCGTGCTTTGGTGTGGTTGTGCTAGCATCCTTGCTGAAAGGTGGTGGAGGGTAATGACTTCAGGTTGTGTGGGTGGGGCCACTGCCTCAGCTATGTCCTTGCTGGCCTGTCCACCCTCACTGGAACTAGGGAGAGCCTTTTTACTGTCCATGAAAGAAAACCATAGGGGTTCCCTGAGTGCCAGTAGGAAGGGGAATAAAAAAAGAGAAAGTCTGGGGTGAGGAAGCAACTTTGCTAACACCTCTGAGAGAGTGAAGAGGGATTTGGGCTTTACTTCAGCAAGTATGGATGGCGGAGCAGCCTCTCCTCCTTGAGTGGACAGGGCTGTCAGCTGTCATGAGGTCGAACCCAACTTCCGACAGGCGGTTTGTGGGATAGCTGTGTCTATCTATCTACACAGCAGGTCATGTTCTGTGCATCTGTCTCCCAAGCTAGGTGTGGCCATTCTTCAAGGAGGCATATTACATCCCTGTGGCCTTCTGAGACCTTTGTCAGGATCCTGCTGTAAATCACAAGGCAGCAACCTTTATTTCTGGGTTTTATTTCTAGGAAATGTCGCAGTTTGGATTCACTGCCGTGCACTGCCGTGTGGTGAGCACATTTTGCTTGATGCTTGATGAAGGGCATTACTGAAAAGTCTCCCCTTTCCAATTGACTGTTTTGCTTTTCTGTCGCACTTGGGAACCTTGGTAAAGAGTCACATTTTCTCCCTGCGCCTTTGGTAACCCCTCAGCAGATATGAATAAAGATTTCTGACAATGGTAGGTGGTTTTGAAAACTGAACTGAAATATAAATCCGATAGATAGACCTAATCTCTAGCAACACAGAACCTGGAAGAATGGTAGCTTATGGCACGTTCAATAGATATTTTTGATTGTGCGTTTATTAAACACATAGCCTATTTTTAAATATTTCATTTTCCTTCTTGACTAGTATGAGGGTACTACCAACTTTCTACAAGGTCATGTGGGGAAGAGCAAATGCTTGTAATCTGAGCTGGAGCAGTTTTCCGGTTCCTGGGAGAGTTGAGCAGAAGGTCCGGGATCTCGTGTGCCTCCTGTCCCACCACTCTCAGCGCCCTGTACCAGCACGGTGCGTTTGTTACGCTCGGGAAGCCCCCGTTACTGCCTCTTCACCTAAGGTCTCATGTCCACTTCTGGCTTCCTCTTGGTGGTGTGCACTCTGTGAACCACCATGTGTATAATGACCTGTGTACCACTGTGATAGTGTACAGGACAGTGTGACGTCAGCTCCTGAAGTCACCGGCGCTCTAATCTTTTGCCCATCACTCCCTTGAAATCCTTGGCAACCACTGGTTTGCTTTTTGTTTTGTTCCAACTCTCTCTCCATAGTTTTGCCTTTTTCCAGAGTCATAGACATGGGACTGAAGTGTGTAGTCATTTTCACATTGTCTTCTTTCGGTAGTACACATTTTTTTATAGATTGGTAGATGTGTTTGTGTGAGTGTGTGGGTGAGTGTATGTGTGTGTGCCTGTATACTTGCATGTGTGTGTAACATTTCATTGGAATGTCATAGTTTATCTAGTCACGTCTTCAAAGACATTTTAGTCGTCTCCAAGTTTAAGATCAAAGCTGCTGTAAGGGATTTATGTGCAGTTTTTTTTTTTGTTTTTGTTTTTTGACAGACTTTCATCTTGTTTGGATAAATACCAAGGCATGTAAATGTGGGTCTTATGGTAAGACTATGCTTAGTTTTGTAAAGAATGTACTGTGTTTTCCCCCAGAGAATGCAGTTCTCTGCAGTTCTGTTTACATCAGCACCAGGTGCAGGAGTTTTAGGTTTGCACATCCCTGAAGGTGGGAGCAATGTCTCACAGCTGGATTGCCATTTCCCAGAGCCCATGATATTGAACACTTTTTTATATGTGCATCTGGCATCTGTTTGGATTTTTTTTGATAGATGTCTGTTCAGATCTTTTGTCCATTTTTAATCCGTGTTGGTAATTGTGTGTGTGTGTGTGTGTGTGTGTGTGTGTGTGTGTGCAGAGGCCAGAGGTGGATGCTGGCTGTCTTCCTTAATTGTTCTCCATCTGATTTATTTTCTTAAACAAATGTCAGTGATGGCTTAACATTTATTTATTGATTTTATGTGTATGGGTATTTTATCTGTATGTCTGAGGCCCTAGGACTGGACTTACAGATGATTGTGAGCTACCATGTGGGTGCTGGGAGTAGAACCTAGGTCCCCTGAAAGAGCAACCACTGAGCAGTCTCCCTTGTCTCTTCTACCTTAATTTTTGAGACAAGGTCTTTCACTGAGCCTGGAGCTCACTAATCTGACTAGGGTGGATGGCCAGAGTCCCAGGGATCCTCCTGTCTGTTAGATTATTTAAAAGATTATTCTGCTGGACAGAGCAGAAGGCCAAAAGGGGGGCTTGGTCTGACCTTAGGCGGGACCATGTTTACTTATGGCAAGTGGGTGTCTTTGTCATCCGTATGTGATGATGGCCAAAATGCCCTCAGAGGAAGATGGTATGTGGGCCCCTTATAGGGGCAGAAAGACTTCAGTAGTCCATAAGGGGAACTGGGAAGTGCATTTCTTCAGCAGAAAACTAGCATTCCTGGCTCTGAGAGGATATAAACAAAATACAGGGTAGGGATACTACAGTTGTGTTCTGCTGAGGAGGGTCTTTGTTGGAGGGGGTAGTTGTGCGTCTGTTGAGACGGGGTCCTCAGGTCACATAGCAGGGGGAGTCTTAACCTGATCAGCTGCATTGGATCATGCTATTGTTGTCCTGCATTCCTGTGGAGACGTGGGAAATAATTCTTAGAGGGCTGGAAATAGATGATTTGGTTACAGAGTAAAACTGCGAGATTTTTCTGGACAGGTTAAGGGATAGGGAGGAGCAGAGGTGGGCCAGTGAAAGAAAGTGGGCAGAGAGCTGATTCAGGTTGACAGTGACTAGCTCCATTGTCGTCAAAATGAACCAGCAAGAAGCAGCTTCAAAGGAAGGGGATAGGAGGAAATAGAAGAATCGTGTAACAAGTTGTATCTGGCTTGGGGTGAAAGGATGAAGGGCCCTTTTGCCTAGAGTTTCTCCACAGCGTTTAAAAGGTCTTTTTGCAGATGTATCAGAACAAATGGAGCTGTTGTAGGGCGAGAGCTATTGTGAGAGCTTACATAGGACATTTTGTTTGGGTAGAGGATGAAGTTCCATAAGTAAAACACTTTATAGAGACAGTGTAAAAACATAAGTATGGGGTTAATAGGAGGGGAAGAAGTGATCAGGGGAGGAGCCAGGGTGGGAGGGAACCAGGAGCCCTTACATAGGAGGAGGTTTGTGGTTGATTTTTTCCTGGTTCCTGCCTCTCCGCTCCATCTCAAACCAGTTAGGATTCGTTGGTGTGGAAGCAACATCTTTTGTGGAGATGGCACAGACCTCACCTCAGTGGTCCAGATCCAGTCCTTTTTTAATCTTAGAGGATCTCAGCAGGCATGGAGTCTGCAGGTCCTGAAGGTTCTTGAGCTGGTCTGAGCTGGTGAGGCTGGGGGCGGGGGCGGGGAAGGGGGGGGGCTCATGGATGAAGGGAGACTCCAGTCCAGCCGCTTTAGTTCTGAATTCCCAAAACAATGGCCAGAGTGACAAGAAGAGGGACGAGTTGGGTGGCCCACGGCCCATTAGCCCCCTTTTAGAGGTCACCTAAACTGCTTTTAGGGATTTGGGGGTGTCGATCTCTAAGTAAGGCTGACGGAAGGGCAGTGAGGGGAGGAGCAGTTAGAGTGTCCATCCAAGGGGCCATGAGAAAACTTTAACAGTTGGCAAAGACCCAGAACGTAAGCCGGGATGTGCAACTTTGTGGGGAACGTTAAGAGACGAAGTTACCTGAGGAAAACTTTTGCGTCAAGATTAACAGGAGTTAAAAGGCAGTTGTACCACTGGCGGGGCCATGCACCAGAGCTCTGTTGAAGGACAAAGTGACTGTAAGCAGCTGTTTGTCATGGCTGACTTCTGCCTAAGCAACAAGCACCTGGAAGCTGTGTATGAGAAGTCAGTTAGAGTCGGCATCCAAGGGATGAATCTGAACAGAATGTGTCTAAGAGATATCCCTTGCTTTTTTTTTTTTTTTTTTTTTTTACATATGATGAACTTGATATATTTGTTTTCAGTATTAACAATACCAGCCATTATTTAATGAACAAAAATAGTATCTTAAGTAAAACAAAAGTCTTGGTTAGAAACAATTTGATAAAGGTAAAATTTTTAAAAATTGGGACTGGTACCTTAAGTGGCCAAAGCTGGTATTTGAAACCACGGTAATACATATTTTTGTTAACATCAAATTGTGAGACCTAGAGATAATTTAATTGTAATTTGTATTTCCCCCAAAGAAATGATTTTTCATTTCCAATTTAAACATACTTTCAGCGACAATGACTGCCTTGCTCTATCCTCAGCAGGCACATCTTTAGAATATTCGAGAACAGTCATTCTCAACCTCCTAATGCTGTGACCCTTTAGTACTGTCCCTCATGTTGTGGTGACCAGCGACCATGATTTTTTTTTGTTGTTGTTGCTACTTCATAACTGTAGGTTTGCTATTGTTTGGAATCATAATAAAAATATCTGATATGCAGGGTATCTGATATGTGACCCTCAAAGGGGTCGGGACCTACAGGTTGAGAACCCCTGTTGTAGAAAGCATCCTAAGTTACCACCCAAGTTAGTGACTGCTGTGTCAGTAAATGATTCACTTTACAAAGTTTTCTAAAACTAACCCTATTAACAGAACTGTTAAAAACTACTTTCTCATTCCATGCACTCAACCAACAGATGACAGATGAAAGCAGTCAGTCATGTCAAATCTGTAAGAAATAATTTACACCATAGACCGAATTAGCCACGAAGGCTAAAGCCAGCTCTTTGCTCCTTCTCCAGGTCACCACACACTGACCGCAGTAAGCATATTTCTTAACACCATTCCATTTAAAGATAGATTGGTTGTTCAGAGGCATAATTTATAAAGCCAGATAACCAAATTAAATGAGCTATGGCAGATATTGGCTTTGGGAATTGCTTAGAAAACATCCACAGACTTCACTGTCAAAGCCTGTGTACGCCTTGTAGGCTTCAGGTTGCAGGCTCCGGCTGTGGAGCTCTCTGTCTGTGTAGAGACTAGATTATGCTCTCAAAGCGCCACAGGTGAGCCCGGGTTGGAGCGACTCTCCTCATCTAAGTTATCTCCTCCGGAAGAATCTAAAGGCTTGGAATATCATTCAATAGAATCATTTGTTCACTCTACAGATATAAAACCAAACTGTCAAAGACTCTGCCAGGATGTTCTGAATAACTTTCCAAAGTTGTGAGTTTGGTAACAGAGTATCTGGCAGCTTCTTTTAATGAGGGAACATGAGTGCTTAGGGTGTAGATGCTGGAATTAGCTTTTGCTAAGAAGAATTAAATGCCAGGGTAAAGGGCATGACCAGTTGAATTAGCATGCAGATGCCTGCCGGATAGCAGGCTTAGGTACAAAGTTCTCCTGTTCACAGCATCCTTGCATGTCAGTTTGGGAGACATTGAGGGCAGAGCGATTGTTATTTGCCTCTCTGTTGTTTTGGATGTAGGTGCTGACTCTGAGATCCTGGTCCCTTTACAGTGCACTGCTCCGTATGTTAAATTATCTAGAGGCAGCTGTAGAGGACGGAAAGGGAAAGAAAGAGAGTCTTGATGTGACCTCAGGCTCAACCATATTTGTTGACAGCAAGGGGGTAACTTTGTCACCCAGGTGTGCTGATGGCCAAAATGTACACAGAGAAATATGGGGTGCGGCCCCTTATGGGGTGGAAACGGCTTATGTAGTCCACAGGGAAGCTGGGAAATGTAGTCTTTCAGCAGGAAACTATCTGGGTTCTGCCTCTACAGTGTAGTTAAGGGAGTATTCCAGCCTCTGGCTCTCATATGTTGTGCTGGGTACTAAACCCAAGCCCTTGTGTTTGTGGAGCAAGGATGTTACTGACTGAGCCATCTCCTCAGACCTATTGTTGAGAACTCTATGTATTTTGGGTGATGGTCCTTTATCAGGTACATCTTTGCAAATATTCTCTCCAAGTATAAAGCTTATCTTTTTTTTTT